GTGCTATTAAGAAATTAACAGACAGACCCAAGGAAGAAAATAGAAAGTCCAAAAATAAATAGAGCTATGTGGAGAATTTTAACTTAAGGAAAACATGACATTTCAACACAACAGGAAAATGATAGATTATTCAACAAATAGTGCACTGAGTAGGCATCTGAGGAAAAAAATGAGATTTACACTTTATGTACAAATTGCAAATGGATGAAATGTAAAAGAAATAAATGGAGGGTCAGAGAGAAAGAAAAAGAAAAGAAACCTTAAACATACTGAAATAAACTCTGGGAAGGCATCCCTAACTGTGATACAAAAGCCAAATGCATTTTTTAATAAAAAGATATTATTAATTCCACTGCTTCAAGATCAAAAATCTCCATATGGCCAAAAAAAAATCACAGTTGCCACTCATAACACAAAAAGCTAACTTGAAAGAACTTCAAATTCATTAGAAAAAAACTAACCTATATAAAAATGGGCAAAGGGTATGAACAGACAGTTCTGAGAAACATGAAAAAATATTCAACTTCATTCCTCATAAAAGATCCAAGTTAAAATTCTCCTCAGGTATTTATCTTTTCATATTAGATTGACCAAGATGAAAAAACATGGTATACTCATAAGTTACAGGTAGGTTTGTAAATTGATTCACCCTCTACAGAGGAAATTTGGCAATAATTACCAAAAGGACAGACCTCACACCTTTTGACCTAACATTTCCAGTCCTAGGGCACCATCTAGGATATACAGATATTTTTGCACATATGGCAAATGCCACTCCTGAGGGACGCAGAAAAAGTCTAAACAAACAAACAAATAGTTTGGCAATAATCTTATAAATTATATACAAATCCTTCCATAATAAAATATACTTATTCATTATGTCTTTTTGTTGTATAATTCAAACTAAAATGTATTACTAACCTTCTTTTTAAAATATGCATAAAGGCAGCAAATATAAAGTCTATGGACCCTGCCTCAGGTTATTCAAATAACATCACCATTGATCAAATACTCAAGAAAAAGCAGACTTGTACAGTGGCTGATGAAACTGCTATTAAACAACACGTGAGTATTCCCTGTGGAGTGCCTTCCCAGAAATCACTGACAAAAATATTGTCCACTTCAATACTACACCATAAAACCAAGGTAATTTTTATCTGCTCTGTGTCTTTAAAATGAGACAAGATTGTTTCTCATGTTTACCCATTGTGATAACACCATTTCTTTCTCTATAATCAAATAGATTCAAATGTTAAGTGTTATTATTCATCCTGCTATTCACCTATGCAGCTATACTCACTATTATTTCTGGGACATTCATTTATGTTATTCCAGAAATATCAAACTAATTAAGGTAGTTGACCAACAGTCACAGTGAGTAGTGTACTCAGAGATTCATAGTGAAAGAATCTTACATCCTGAGGCCTCTAGCCCTGGGGCACCAGCTGCACCAGGGCTAAGAAGCTTGAGAAGATCAATAGTTTGGTATTAATACACTGGAAATCTTGGCATTAGGTAAAGAACAGCTAGGGCAAGTATTCTTTGGGCTATCTCAATCTATCCTCCTTGGTTCAGCTGCCACCTATGTACTGATTGCTATTAAAGTTGTCACTAACCTAACTTCATTCCTCTATTTCTGTCTTATCTCACTGACCACTTGATGAATATTTCTACCTCTACCTAGGGTTTCATAACAAACTCAACATGTCCAAAACAAAACTCATCATCTTCTGCATCCAACTGGCTCTCCCCTGGGAATTCTGTATCGCAGGTGTTGTGTGTGTGTGTGTGTGTGCATGTGTGTGTGTGTGTGTTTTCAAATAAGGTCAACTTTTTATTTTAGATCCACGGGGTACATGTGCAGGTTTGTTGCAAGAGTATATTGCATATGTCTCAGTTGATAGCAACTACTCAGTCACTGAAGCTAGAAGGCCAGGAGCTATCCTTAACTTGGGTTTTTTCCTCGTTCTTCACATCTGCTAATCCCCAAGTCTGGCCTATTGTCATTCTCTTAAAGATTTTTCAGGGCCAGGCATGGTGGCTCACACCTGTAATCCCAGCACTTTGGGAGGCCAAGACAGGCGAATCACCTGAGGTCAGGAGTTTGAGACCAGCCTGGCCAACATGGTGAAACCCTATCTCTACTAAAAATACAAAAATTAACCAGGCGTGGTGGTGGGGTGCCTGTAATCCCAGCTACTCGGGAGGCTGAGGCAGGAGAATCCCTTGAACCCAGGAGGCAGAGGTTATGATGAGCCAAGATCGCACTACTGCACTCCAGCTTAGGCGACAGGGCAAGACTCCGTCTCAAAAAAAAAAAAAACATTTTTCAAATCTGTCCCCTTCACTCCATCCCCATTACCACTGCCTTAGATGAGGCAGTCGCCAACCTGGTGTCCTCCAACCATTCTCTACACAGCTGCTAATAATCCAACATGAACAGCCAACCATGGCACTGTCCTGCTTAAAAGTAAACACATCCCTCTCAATGATGGCAATTTCAACTCTATTTTCTGATTAAGGGATTTGTTTCACTTTCATTAGAAACAGTGGCTCACTACAGCAAGATTTTCACTGAGGAACAGTGTCTTGCTAGCCTCACAGAGATTACTGACTTATAAGATTAAGTGTAAGGGCCTGCCTGTCCTTTGTCATTATTTATTCCTCTGACTTTAAACTTGACACTCCAGCAATACCAAGTGCCTGAACCCTCCTACCACACCTCCAGGATATTTACTGCCTTGGGGGTCTCTGTTTACGCTGTCCCTTCTCCCTGGAACACCTTCCCCTCACCACTCACTCCCTCAATTTGATCACATCCTTGAGGACCTACTCAGCTCAGCATCATCTCCCAGTCAGTTCTCCCTATCCTAGGCTGAATTGAGTGACTGAATTGGCACTCCTGTTATATCCATAGCCTATCTCCATCCCATACTTCAGCCTATTTTAGTCCACTGTATTTTTCATATCCTTATAAAATTTCTTATTACCTCATTATTCCCAAGCAGTACATTTTGATTGTCCATCAACTCCTAGCTCACATTTCCTCACGAGGCACCACCCAATGTATAGACTCTGACTTTAGAGTAGCCTAGGAACATAACTCTTGGGGTATCTATCATTGTGGTCCACAAATCAAAGCTACTTTAAGGTAACTACAATAAACTTCTGGTCTCTCACTACAGGTGAAGAGAGCTACTGATACCTATAATTTTGGAATTGCCCTTGAACACCGGAAAGAAATGCTAAACCTCTGGCAGAAGATCCGAGGGGATTTGATTGGCATAGACTCTAGAAATGAGTCCTTTTATGACACCTTTTCTACTTATACATGGTCCTGGAATGTTTGCCAAGAACTACTTTCTCCTAAGGACTTAAGGTTATATGATGCCTATGTGAATAGAAATTCCTCCCATAACTCCAGATCCTTTTCCTCATCAGATACCAGTGAATGTGACACAGACTCAGGAAGAAAAAGAAAACGGAAAGGTTTAAAGGGATTTCAGTAATGAAATTTCTACATTTTCTAAACAGCTCATCACAAACTACTTTTTCATAGTTACCAAAATTATGGTTTCTTGCTTTTGTCTCAGTACATTCTTAGAAGCTGGAAATTTTGACATCTTTTGGATTCTGACCAGTAAAAACGTTAAAGTCATAAAATGGTTTCCCTTTCGTTAAATTTTTTGTTTGTTTGTTTATGTTTTGAGATGGAGTCTTCCTCTGTCACCAGGCTGGAATGCAGTGGCATGATCTTGGCTCACTGTAACCTCCGCCTCCTGGGTTCAAGCCATTCTCTTGGATCAGCCTCCCGAGTAGCTGGGATTACAGGCACCCACCACCACACCCAGCTAATTTTTGTATTTTTAGTAAAGACGGGGTTTCACCATGTTGGTTAGGATGGTCTGGATCTCCTGACCTCGTGATCCACCCACCTCGGACTCCCAAAGTGCTGGGATTATAGGTGTGAGCCACCGCGCCGGGCCCCCTTTCCTAAATCTTTACCAGTAAATAGATGCTGGGCTGTTCGTTCCCCAGCAATCAGCTATGCTCTGCTGCCCCTACCTGGCTTAAGACTGCCTAAGCCTCAGCAGGAAGGAGAAAAGTTGACCTGAGCTAAGGGCTCTCCAAGCAATAAACCTGAGTTTATGGTGAGTGTAAACTGGATTAGGTTTTCAATTGTTTGTGAAAGACACTAGAGACAGCAGAAGAGGATGACCTTTCAGTTTCAGGGAATAAGATCAACAAGCCCTAAAGAACCTTGATTAAATTTGGGTATTCCCAAGGCTCCTTAGCTACAACCTGCATACCTGGATTGCTCTTACAAATAGCTGAACACGGCCAGGTGCGATGATTCATGCCTGTAATCCCAACACTTCGGGAGGCTGAGGCAGGCGGATCACCTGAGGTCAGGAGTTCGAGACCAGCCTGGCCAACATGATGAAACCCTGTCTCTACCAAAAATACAAAAATTAGCCGGGCGTGATGGCACACGCCCATAATCCCAGCTACTCTGGAGGCTGAAGTGGGAGAATCACTGGAACCTGGGAGGAGGAGCTTGCAGTGAGCTGAGATTATGCCACTGCACTCCAGCCTGGGTGACAGAGCACGACTCTGTCTCAAAACAAAACAAACAAAAAACGAATAGCTGATCACAACAATTGTATTTATTGTTGCTGTTCTTTAATGCATTTAATAAAGCAGCACATATATAACTATATTACAAGTTTGGGGATTATAATTTTTTATTATGGTAAAATATACATTCCATAAAATTTGCCCTTTCAATCATGTTTAAGTATGTATCATCCATTACTGGTTTTTTGTTTTGTTTTGGTTTGGTTTTGGTTTTGGTGTGTGTGTTTGTTTAGAGACAGGGTCTCACTCTGTCACCCAGGCTGGTGTGCAGTGACACAATCATGGCTTGCTGCAGCCTCAACCTCCTGGGCTCAAGGAATCCTCCCACCTCAGCTTCTCACGTAGTTGGAACTACAGGCATGCCCCACCATGCCTGGCTAATTTTTTTATTTTTGTGGAGACATGGACTCCCTATGTTGCTCAGGCTGGTCTCAAACTCCTGGGCTGAAGTGATCCTCCCACCTCAGCCTCCCAAAGTGGTGTTATTACAAGTATGAGCTACTGTGCCCAGTCCCACTGGGGTATTTTTCTGTGGTTCTCAAGGGTTGCCCACAGAAAGACAGACCACCTTTGGACTCAGGAAATCTGGATGTACCAAGACTAAATCTATATTAACCTTCTGATCTACTGTCAGGATGGCAAAGTGTTTTATTTCTTGTGCCAATTCTGATCTAAAAATGTAAGGGATAAAAAATATATATATAAGGGATGAGATCAACTATTTGTAAATGTTGTCTAAGAAGCTGGTTTGCAGGTGTGTGGGTGCAAACCAGTCCATCACACTGAACATATAGAACAAATGCTTTTTAAATCACTATTCTAGAAAAATTTTGACCCAGAAAAAGGAAAAGATATGTCCAGTATTGATGGGGACAATGCCTCATAATGTTAAAAAAAAAAAAATTGAGACAGAGTCTTACTCTGTTGCCCAGGCTCAGCGCAGCAACATGATTTCAGCTCACTGCAACCTCCACCTCCCCAGGTTCAAGCGTTTCACCTGCTTCAGCCTCCCAAGTAGCTGGGATTACAGCTACGTGCCACCACACTCAGCTAATTTTTTATTTTTAGTAGAGATAGGGTTTCGCCATATTGCCCAGGCTAGTCTCAAACTCCTAACCTCAGGTGATCCTGCCAACATCAGCCTCCCAAAGTGCTTGGATTACAAGCGTGAGCCACAGCGCCCCGCTGTAAAATTATAAAATACCAGGAAAAAGCAATGAAGGCAATGCCCCCAAAACTGCTTATTGAAATGGCCTTGAGGTAATTTTGCGAGTGTTACCATGAATAGTCAAAAGAGTCTAAATATACTTGCTATTATTCATAAAGATACAATGTTGGAGAGAAGAACTAACCTGATAGATAAGTAGCCATATTTTCTAGGTAAAAAGATTTATTTTACCTAGGTATTTCTAGGTAAAAAGACTTTTCATATGGCTGTAGGTATAACAGGGAATCTAGGAGATATAATTTGGATGCCAAAATGTTACAGTTCCTGGAATCTTTCCTTGCATCAGTGAGATAACAGGACAGAATATTTTTTAGTAGGATCTGTCCTGGAAAATCTAAAATGTACAGCAATAGATTATTTCTATTAAATTGTCACACACTGTCAATGACAGTATAAATTGGCATCTCTCTGCCGAAATATAGTATAGCAAGAGGGTACTCATCCATCCATTCATTCACCAATTATCAAATGAGTTGCATACTGTGTGCCAGACCTAGTTCTAGGACCTGAACATATAACAGTTAAACAAGTAAAATGACTTAACCTCACAGAGCTTAGTGATAGAGCTAATTATAACCATTGACTCAGCAATTCCTATTCTAGAAAGTAATCATAGGCCGGGTGCGGTGGCTCAAGCCTGTAATCCCAGCACTTTGGGAGGCCGAGACGGGCGGATCATGAGGTCAGGAGATCGAGATTATCCTGGCTAACACGGTGAAACCCCGTCTCTACTAAAAAATACAAAAAAACTAGACGGGC